TTGTTGAAATAATAATAAAAATGCAATATAATCAATAACTTAAAATACATCAATCTGACAAGTAAGTTAAAGTCTCATCATAAAGTTACAATAATTCAATCTCATAATTCTAAACGAAAGTAAACAACTTAAATTACATAAATCTTATTGGTCCAATCAAAGCTAAAAAATTAATCAAATCACATCTAACATAATTCTATAACATGCTTAACACATGTTAGTAACTTCATCAACCTCACTTTTGTAAGAAAATAAGATGGGAGAGTGTAGTTTTAGGGCTATGTGGTATAAAGATAATTAAGATATTTAAGAAATAATATTAAACGGGTATCCACGGGTATGGATATCATCATACCCGCCCCCGCTCCATTTATAAACGGGTAAAAAATTATCCGTCCCCATTATCCGCGGGTATCCAATTAGCCTATCCATTTATTACCCGTAGCGGATTTTATCCGCAGGTACCCACAGGTGCGGGTATTTTTGCCATCCCTACTGGAGATGGATATATTTTTTTTAGGCTACCTTATAGTAGCATACTTTGTTGCATATAATTGATTGTTGTTGGTTGCTTGATTAGAAACTTGTGTTGTAAATATTTTATTATACTATTTTAGTATATATATTCCAGTAGTGTGTAGTGTTGTTTCGTAGTGTGACAGCCACGGCAGGTCGTTACAAAGACTCAATCTGCATACATGACAAAAATTTTGCATATCATAATTTCACATTTCTTCATACACGTTATGCGATTTCACAATTTTTTCATCTGCGTTAAAAATAAATATGTTTAATAGAAAAATTAAGATTTAATGAAAAGGAGAAAAATGTAGAAAAGTAAAGAATTTTGTATACTTGAAGTTTTTTTGTTGTTGTGTATTTTCTATTTGTGTTATATAATTCTACAATTCCTAATACCAATAAAAATTGTTATTAAATGAGATCTCAAAAAGTGAAAATAGATAGTTGACAATTTCACAAGTAAGAAGAAACATCTAATAATACTACAATTTAGATGCATATTTTTTTATAATCATAATACATTGAATTTGAATTTGAATATCTATAATTAGAAAATTATTATATTGCAAATAATTAGTAAAGATTATTTGTGTTTAATTAGTGTAATTAAATTTATTAAATGTCAATTGTAACGACCCGCCATAGGCCGTCACATCAATAACCAATATGACAACTAAAATAAAATAATATATAATAAAGAAAATAGAGCAAAGGCCAGCTACACTAGAGTGTAAATATACAATAACGTATAAATTGTTTTCATCATCTAAAACATAATTTTATAAAAGAGTCATCCTCAGCAAGGTTATATAGTAATCCAAAAAGATAATGAATATACAACGTCATGAAAACATCAAAATAAGACACCCTAGGTGCTGGTCAAGCTCTAAGCCTAGCCACTTCTCAAAGCAGCTACCAAAAGACTCCTTGCTATCCCAAAGCCTCACACCTGATCTACTCCCCCACATAATGAGATCATCACAGTCCACATCATGTAAATATAAGGGTTAGCACGTATAAAACCAACCATAGTACAACATAATGAAATATCATTAAACTAGATATTCATTAACAGTATGTATCCATACCAAGGGAATGACAACATTATAACAAGTCATTTCCATGCCAAATATAAATCAATCCAAAGTCCAATGTATACACATCCATGCCAATGCATACATATTATATGATAATAAAGAATTCATAACCAATGTATACAATCCATACCAAATGCATACATATTCCACATCCAAACCAAAGTTACACCACTGTATAATCCCATGAAGTAGCCAACACATCCAAACCAAATGTTGACCTCAACACATCCAAACCAAGTGTTGAATTCGTGAACATGTCACCTGCCCATGTCACACACCTAACCTCTCATGGAAAATATACAGTTGGGTTACGTCGTCACGTAACCCTGGTGATCGCGGCCACTTCATCCATCGGTATGACTCGGCCTTGCCCCCATACCGGTAGCAAATAGAATACTTAGAGGAGTACTTCAGAATCCACCTAACATCTGAAGTGGTTTATTATATAATCTTTGGAAAAGTTCCATATTGGAATCCTCACCATGGGACTCCCAAATTCCATATTTTCCCAAAGATTATATCCTGATCTCACCAAGAGATCTCCTAATCCATACCATAACCTTACTCCTCTAAGTCCTATTAGCTTTCCAAACCAAACACACATAGCATATTCCATAATTACATACAAAATTTTCCATAACCATGCCAAATTACTAAATATAACAACATAAATAATTAAACACCCAAAACAACTATCAACTTAACCAAATTACCCTTTGTGAAATGACAATCTTCACATAAAATAACATATTAAGAGTTATATTACTCCTATCATGCTCATACTTATCTCATATGAAAGATAAGAAGACTTCCTACAACTCTTATGAAGACATCAAGTCCTAATTCCATCATCTATTTTGTTAAAAATTATAAAAACCGCAACAACTATAACCAATTCTGGCATCTTGACCCCGGTTCAGTAAAACATTCATATCTGTAGTTCTATACCTCCTTTTTGGGTGATTCCAACGCCATTAGAAAGCTAACATCCAAGGGTACAACTTTCATGCAGACTTCAAGACCAACATACTCACGCCAGCGCACTAATATCACGCCCGGCGCAAAACTTAAACAGAGACCTACAGAGCTCATTGCGCTCGGCGTAATTATGCTGCGCCCGGCGCAATATTTAGTAACCAAATTGCACCCGACGTGACTAACCTTGCACCCGACATGATTTGGCAATGATGGTCTCTGATGAATTCATGCCCGGCGCCAAGAACTGCGCCCGACGCATTTACAACCAGAAACCCTCGAAAAACCTTGAAAATTCCTTCCAATCATGAATCCAATCCAAATTACATGAGTTTGAACCATTATAAAGCATAAACAATATCCAAAAACAACATTTTAAGCAATAAAATCAAGTATTAACCATAAATCCCTGGAAATCATGAAGAAATAATGACCAACCCTACCCAAACCCTACCCACCTAAATCCAGCCGCAATTATGCGTAAAACATGGAATCAATGTGATATTTCAACTCCATACATACTAGATTAAGTCTTATAAGTACTACCCTTACCTCAGAAACTTCAAAAATGCAAGATTTGAACAAAACCCTCAAATTCCCAATTCAAACTTCAATCTCACTTTTCAAGGCTTCCAACATGGAAAGAGTTGAATTTCAGAAAACCGCGAGAGAGAAGAGAAAACCCTAAACAGAGAAGTGTGATTGGTTCATTGGTTTGTTTGGAGATAAATTCTTTGTTAGGGTTTTGAAGAAGAAGAAGAAGGCGCATGCATTGGTGATTGATTTGAAGAAGAAGAAGCGACGTTTGTGTGTTCTTCTAATCGGGTAAGTCCTTTGTTTAGGGTCTTCTAATCGGGTAAGTCCTTTGAAGAAGAAGAAGGCGCATGCATTGGTCTTTTTGATTAAAGGGTCTTCTAACCCTTCAGAATGAGATTTACAATTAAAACATGTTAAGCTGAACCCACCAGACCAGACCCGTGAGAATCACGGTCGTGATTCACAATCTAGAAAAATTAAAATTAGAGAGGGAACAAAATCTGTCACTAGATATCTTAAAATTCATCACAAAATAAATTAGTGACGGAATTTGTGACGAAACTGATTTCGTCACAAAAATTGGCGTCACAAAATATTTAGTGACGGATAATTTGAGTCCGTCACAATCAGTGACAGAATTAAGGCATCACAAATTCCGTCACTAATTTATAATATTAAATGTTCATAAATTAATAAATTTCCATCACAAATTGTGACAAATTTAGTGAGGGACTTTTTTCCGTCACAAATTTGTGACGGAATTTGTGACAGATTAACTCCGTCACAAATCTGTGACAAAATTTGTGCCTCTTATTAACACTACACGTTGATAGGGATGTTGGCGTCACAAGAGAGGTCTATTTTACAACATTTCACTTTTTATGTGTTTTATCGTTGCTTGCACAATTTTTGAGAGACTTCCCAGAAGGTCACTCATCCCTACATTACTCCATGTCAAACACGCTTAACTGTGAAGTTCTTATGAGATAAGCTACCAAAATGTATATGCATGTTATCAGTATAACTTGTACAAATTAATTCATTTAAGTCATCCTCAACTATACAATCTCATACTTGTACTATAATAATAATATATAATAATTTTATATTACGATAATATATATTTAATTAATTTTTATTTATATATACTTACTTTTATAATTAACAATCTACTTATTTCTATTTTAAATTATAATTTAAATTATTTATTTTTATAATTTATAATGATAAAATAATTTATAAAATTATAAGTATTTATTTATTACATATTTATAAATTAAAATTTAACATTTTAAATAAATTATTAATTAATTTAATATATTTATTTATCTTGAATCTAAGATATAAAATTCAAAAAATGTATTTATCCTTATTTTATTTTCTAATTATCAACCATTAATAAAATACTAATTTAAAATCTTATCTAATTATATCATAATATTTTCATATCAAATTTAAAATCAGATATTAGTCATACAAAAATATCAAGATCATATAGTAAATTGTCAACAAGATTCTAGTTAAATAATTTAAAATAATTAAT